GCTATGGATTTCTGCATCTTCTTCCCTCAGATACTAATCTCTGGTGACAATTATGGTAGTCAGCAATCTGATTACAGTAGATGGCTAGTTCTCCACTATTGCTAGGAGTCTTAGATGGGGTTATCCTTGTGGATTCCTGGAGGTTTCCCTGGTTTTCTAAGATGCATCTACTCTTACCATTTACAAAGTAATTTATTTTGTCAATTCCTCTGGGTACTGCTAACTACAAGCAAGTGGCATATTAGTTTCATAGAATAAGATTCCTGCCCTCTTAAAAACATATTTAAAATATCCATCCATTGGCCCTGATAGGAAAAGGATCCTACAAATCACAGATTTATTTTTATTACATTAATGAGGAAAGTAAGACCCAAAGTCTACTTAGTTTCCCAGTTTTATCAAATGGCTCAGTAATGCTTACAGAGGTCTGAAAGTTGTTGTTTTCCATACTATTGTGCAAAAGCTCCATTGAAAGCCATAAAATACTACAATGACAAATGAGTCTTTGCACACATATGTATGTTCAAAGCAGATACTCTTTGATTGAGCATAAATGAATTGAAATCCTTGTCACTGCAGGTCTGATTCAACATCTGTTAATTGGATTTCAGTTAATGGATTTAGTAAGTCAATATCCATGTTCAGAAGTCAACTTGTCTCTGAATCCAGGTTTATAATAACACTAATTTTCTTTTTAATTTGTAGGATCAATAACTAAATCATATATGTAACTATATGTGCTTTATTGGTTAGATATGTAAAATCAAAGACAAAATCAAGTTTAACTTACAGAGATAACCTGTTAACACACACACACACACACACACACACACACACACACATATATATATATATATATATACATATATATATATATATATATATATATATATATATATATATTCCTAAGGCAGAATTCATCTTTTTTTCCCCTGACATGAATTCCCATATTATTCTAAACCACATGTTTTACATTTAATTCTTGGCTGACAACCCATTTTTCTGTCACCCTTGTGTTCACTGTGTCTGCAAGGCATCCTCTCTGCCTTCTAGAACATCTCTGTGAATGATGTTACTCACCCTCCATTACATACCCACAATATAGTACGAACCAAAAGAAAGGTTTGATATCAAAACTTAAAAATTCTTTTTCAGGAAGATGTAACTGCTTTATGGGATTACATGTCATATTTTAGAAATTAAATAAAATTTGTGAGGAATTTAGAGCCCAGCCATTAAGACAATGTAATTATGTAATAGCTATTGATGATTTAAGTACATCTTTGTCGAATTGGGTAGCCACAGTAGGTTTCCTTTGCCAAACTTTTCTCAATCAAGAAACAATGAGCACAGTCATGTGCACTCATACAGTAGAAACTTAAATAGTGTCTGTTTGTGGGACCCCTGGCATTGTGATTAGAATCTATCCTTAGTGCAGGAGCTGGCTTTCTGAGATCCATTCCATATGGTGAGATGCCTTGCTCAGCCTTAATGCCGGAGTTAGAGGGACTTGGCCTTGGCTTGACTGAATGTGCCAGGTTTTGTTGACTCCCCATGGGATGCCTTACTCTTTCTGAGAGGTGGATGTGTGTGTGTTGGAAGGAGGTTGGAGAGAGGGGGACTAGGAGTGGGAGTGATAACTGTGGTTAGTATGTAAAATTGATCAAAAATTAATTTTTTAAAAAAATTAAATACTTTGTCAAAACTTGTACCACATCCTAACAGAAATGACAGCATGCTGAATTCAAATGCACTGTTTCTTAATCATGGAAAATACAGTAGGTGCTCACATTGTTCACTTCACCAGGCCCTGCACACTCCCCAGCTAATGACATCTTTTCACAGCTATGCCACATTGTGCTGTTGACCTCCCTTCTCCTTAAAGCTTAGCTCCTTGTGGTCTCTGTCACTTTCCTCTCTGGGTTTCCTCATACCTCTCTATTCACTCTTGCCATTTTTGTTCAGAGTCCTTCTGCTTCAATATTTCTGTCCTCTTTGCTTTATGCTATGTTCTGTCCCATCAGAAGCACTGATTTCTAGTGCTTCAGCTAATGCTGAGAAAGCCAAACCCACTCAGGCCAGGAGTGGTCACCCAGTGAACATTTGGCATTTTCTACATCTACTTGTTTTGTCATAGCAAGGAAAGGTAGTATAAAATATAGTGAGTAGAGGTAAGTGATGATAATAAGCACATTAGTATGTAAAGAACAGCTTCACAAAGAAATGACGAAGCCCCCAAATTCAATAGTGCTGTGAATTACAAACTATGACTTAGGTATACTGGACCATTCTATTTGAGCATCCCATAGAAACACAAAACTCAGTATGTAACAGGGGGAAATTATCTGCTCCTCCATTTCGCTGCAAACCTTAATACTTTGGATTTTGATATAATGCAATAGCACCAAATATAGCAACAGATTTACCTGCTGACACTCCAAATACCTTAATTTTCTGAGTTTTAATCTACAAACATTGAAGTATCTCTCTCCTCTTCTGTGATCAACTATCTACTGAATCCATGGCTATCTTATTCCCAGCAGTCTACACAATCTGGTCCATGATTCCCTACTACTACTGCAATCCATCTGTCTTCCTTAGGATAATATGGCAGTTGAATTCAGTCCTTCAATTTTGAAGCATTGGCCATTGCATACTGAGCAAAAAGGCATCTCATTAACACACCACATTTCACCCTTAAATCTTGTTTCTATATCTGGCACATCCTTACCTTAAACAACTCATCAAATCTCTACCATAAGTGTCTAATTTTAAATATCAAGTGAAATTCCTTTAACAATTTGAATATGTGCTTTTTCTTATCCTTAGTTCTTTTTTTTATATACTGAAAAGTGAAATCAAGTCAGTATGTTATTAATTTCAGGACAAAGTCTAGTCATTTTGCCTCTACTTGATTCAGGCTAGATAGAAACTCTTCAGAGTCATTCTATGCAAAAAGCCACACCATATAGATGGAGTTTTATTCTATCAAAGTTATTAGCTACTATTTTTTTTCATTGGCTACCATGTTTACCAAAACCTTGTCCTCAGTGCAGATCAAAGACAAACAGAAGTTATTGTAACAAAGAGAAGACTTTTATATTCCTGTGGTAGCACACTTGGATGAGAAAGGATTAAGAGGAGTGTGTGGGATGGCAAGATATATAAAATCAAAGGTTAGCACATTCAATACAGTAACAATTGTTTTGCTGTGAGATTTTGGTAACTTATTAAGCATATTCCTCATTTATGAAAGAGGAATATATAGTTGAGATATCTTTCAGATCATGATAACATCTGGATTCTAAATACTCATCTCAAACATACACTCAATGTCCTTGAGAATCCTGTCACAACTGTCCCTCTGATCGCACTTCTCTCATCCTTTGAAGAGTCTCTTGCCTTATCTCAGCTCACATCAATCCACCATTTTCTTACAACAATCAGAATCTTGGAAGTTTCTTCTGCCAAGAACTCCAACAATAAAATGAATCTATAAGTGAATCTTTTCTTCTGTGACTTTTTCTAGATGGAACTTTCTAGATGTAACCTGTTAGAGCACATGTCTAGAGTCTTTGGGTTTCCACCTTATATTTCAGTAGGCTAAAATGATACTTTCAGATCCTTTTATATTTGTCAAAGACAGATGTGGGATGCCCTTCTGTATGCTGCAAATATGTGTTGCCTTTATTGGTTGATGAATAAAGTGTTTTTTTTTTTTTTTTTTTTTTTTTTGGCCAATGGGCAGGCAGAATACAGCTAGGTAGGAAATCAAACAGAGTTACAGAGAAAAGGCTGAGTCAGGGAGACATGTTGTAACTGCATAAGAGGTAAGATGCCAGAACATTACCAGTAAGCCATGGCCATGTGGATGTTACATAGAATATGACTATGGGTTAATTTAATTGTGAGAACTAGTCAGTGATATCTGAACCATTGGCCAAACAATTATACTTAATATTAAGCCTTAGAGTGATTATATGGGAAATGGTGGGTGGGACAAGAAACTTCCTGCTACAAAGGACATAGATGAAAGAAGAGAGCCATTATTTTTTTAAAATTGAACTCCACTAGTTAAACATAAGATAATCCTGTACTGTAAAGAATTGAGCTGTACATACAAAGTAAAATTCTAGAGGTTCTTAAGAAATGCCCTGAATATATTTTACTTTTTTAAAAAGTTGATAAAATTTATTTAAAGTTTAAAGCCAAACTATTAAAAACAAAACAATCTCATTCAAGGATGTGTTAGTTAAAGCTGTCTCCTACAGTATGTACCTGTGATATTTGTAAGATGATAGGCTGGTTTCTGACATTTTCATCTCTGTGTATTTTCCAAAGCTGCTGCATCTTGCCATAATAGCTCTAGCTGTACAAGTACATAATTAGGTACTTGGCATGTTTGAGAAGATATGAATACTTAATCTTCTCATTGAAAATGGCTACATGATTAGAAATTAAATTCTTTCTAGAACATTCTCAGCAGGTACCCTCTGTTTTCCCTTGTGCTTTTAAGACATTTCCAGAAGTTATATAACTTATTTGTGAATCCTCAAGGAGTCCTATTTTCCAATCTAAACAGAAGGGCACTTTTGATTCATGAATAAAAATAGTCTGGATATACTACAACTTTAATGATATCAATTGTAAGAAAAATTATTTATGTACATAAGGAACTCTGTCTTTAAGATTCAAGAAAATTGGGTACTTTTAATTAAAACTATGACCATCACAGTAGATTATCAAGAAATAATAAAGTGCAGTTAATGGATTTTAGTAATTACTAAAATAATCAACAAAATATTTTTATTAAAGGTAATAGCCTTTAAGTTTCATAATTTATTCTATATAGAATATTACTTCTCAGATTAGGGTATAATGTCAACAGATAGATAAACTATAAAGATGCAAAACATTAACCTGGGGAAAGTTTTGGCACTTTCTGTAAGAAGACTGGTATTATTTAGTTTTGACATGTATTTTATCACCAAACCTTCTAGATCTACGGAAGACATTTGAGCAGGAACCCTTGGGAAAGGAAGTGTCTCTGGAACAGGAAGTCTTACTCCAGTGTCGGCCACCTGAAGGGATCCCAGTGGCTGAGGTAACAAAAATGCATTGCATTTAGCATTTGGCACTTAGTTATTCTAATAGAGGCCTAATCCATGGCTAATGGTGCAGTGAATTAGGACATGGCATGATGAATGGTTGGTAATGGAGTCCTAACTGCCTGCTGCTGGCAAAACAGATTGATTAGAAACTGATTAATGACTTGGGAGTCAATTAGAATGCCCCACTGGACAAAGCCACAGGCAGCATGGTTTAATTTTATCATTCTCTTTCAAAACAATCAGAAATAATGTTTTTACTTTATCTGGCACCTATAGAAAGAGATGCTGTGATTAAATGTGTCATCAGTTGTATTAATGTTTAAGATGATATAAAAACAATATGTTATACTAATAAGAAAAATGTGTGTGTCTTATGAGCCTACACTGCACACTTGTGTTTCTCAGTCTATTTTATCATCATGAAGATAAAAAAAAAAGTATATCCACTATCATAAACATGATCACCTCCATCTAGTAATATCTTTATCAATGTATGCATTGTTTTGGTTCTGGTTAAATGAAGCCTATGCACAGCTAATGAAGGAATGTGGGTCAGGTTTTCGGCATGACTTTTCATTAGCAGCAATGTGTTGCTTTTTGAAAAGAGTGTGTATTGGAGCAATTATCCTCATGACCCATAGGAAAGTGCATGCTCTCCTGGGGACACTCACCATAATGTTACAGCATCCTGTTGAAGGAAATGAACATTATGTCTTTTATTTGTTAACAAATAGTTCCAACCTCTAAAACAACATTCCCTTTACATGGTGGTTAATAGACTACCTTATAGTGCCCAACAGGATTATATACAGAATTCTACAAATCAAATTTATTGTAAGTTTTATTTGTAAGGGTCCTTGCTAGCCTCCAAGCTTCATGAAGTCATTTGAAAGATTTACCCTACATTGCATATGTGGAAAGAGATATCTACCAGTTATCATTCAGACCTAAATATGGATTCAGTGGACATGGATCAGCTCATATTTTTCAGACAATAAAAATCTTAAAATTCTGCCTCTCCAAGAAATAAAAAAAATAATATTGAAAGCTTATTAGTAATTAATTATAAATATTTCATTTGTTGTTGGACTTCTCATAGCTTTTCAGATTGGTACAAAGTAGGAATCAGATAAGGTAGCCAGACTCGCAACTGAACACCTGGTTCTTGTGAGTTAATACTGGCAACAAATTACTTGAAAATATACACAAAAGGACTCCATTTTTCTGTCATAACATTTATATCTGTTTCTTAATCACAAAATCATATTTCCCTTTTCACACTGAATAAAGACAACTATTTTTCCTTGTAATAGGTGGACTCTTCTGCACAAAATCAGAAATTGCACCATTACCACCCACTATCACACAATACCATATCGGCGTCTTGTATCCCCAGAACACAGGCTATGACTTAGTATGGCTGAAATGAAGGACATTCTTCTCTGTCTTGCATTTCCTTCACTTCAGATATGTGACAGAGCATCTGTCTCCTTATTTGTAGTTCTAAAGTAAACCTCTTACAACAGCCACAGTACTAAACATCCTATGATCAGCATGGGCATCTGTAATCTGGCTTCTACTGTAACTGTCCATTGAGCTGCATGGGTATTCATAGCTTTGCTTCTACTCAAGGCAACTTAAAAGCAGGTGGTCCTCAGAAAAAGTCTTATGGAGAGACTTTTTTATTTTTATTTATTTATTTTTTTTTTGTCAGCTCAACATAGTAGTTCACTTTGTCAAGGAATAAAGTTTCATGACTTCAAACTAATTGGCTATGAATTTTATGTGTATCATCACTGGGGAAGAGCCTAATTAACATTTGGCAAGCTCAAAAATCATATACCCATTTGACATTCAAAGAACTATATTTAATACATATTACTTTTTCTTTCTATTTTTTTTTCAGTCAGAAAAGAGATCAAACATACATGCTTAAAAGCAGACTAATAAACTCCAGTGTAGATTCTTTTTAACACCATTAAAATCACCAAGATCAGAAAGCCAATGGGTGCCTTAAGATGACACTTTCCAGCTGCTGTTTGCTCAAGAGCAGCAGGAAAATGCAAAAAGGAAGGGATGAAAGATAGCTTGGGAGTCAAAAGATTATTTGATCATTTTAGTTTCATTGTAAATGCATTTGGTATTTTATTTTCATTTATTTGTTTGGGGATTTTGAAAGTGTAAAAATGACATAAAATAAGATGTTGATCTTAACATAAAACCAGCCAGTAAAATGCATGTGTTTTGTGATCGTTAAATCAGTCCTGAGGCAGTCAGCATGGATAGATGTGTGCTTTGCTGCTGTCCAATGCAACTGCTACTGAGAGAAAAATCAGATGTGAATGTTCAGTGAACACATGGCTGGTCAACTCAATTTATCTTTGTTTCGCATGCATGTGGCTAGCTTCATGAAGGAAGATGTAGTCTTTGCAGATTATCAGGAAGTGGTAATTGGCTCTTAGCTAAACCAGCCATCTTTTACAAAAGAGTCTAGCCTCAATTATGATCACACTGCATATATACATATAATGTCATAAGCATTGCTTGCGTGATAGCAGTGGGTTTCTCCCATTTTAGCATCCTTTAGTCTCTTCTATGGATTAGCAATTGACTTTCTTATAAAACTTCCGGATTATATCTAAGCATGATCATGTTTTAACCTCTGACTTTACGCAAGATACTTAAATCCTTTTTGCCTAGATTTTCCAGTCAGATGAAGAAGATAATAGTACTTATGTATTATGTGTTGGTGATATTTAATAACTTAGTATGAGAAAACTACTTAAACCTGTCTAAAGCCATAAAAGGCTATCGACCACTATACTATACTATTATTCATTATGCCATTATATTATGTTACTAATTCCCAGACACTGAACTCATAGTCACTGAATGTTTCTCACCCTAAACACTCTGGGATATAGGGAGGAGGAAGTTCTGCTGAAGAATCACCAAGATGACACCTATATCCCACAGCAATTGGTTTGCTTGGAGGTCATAACTGTTACAGATAAAATTGACCTTTTAAATTTAAAGCTGAATCACTTTCTCATTATTGTGACCAAATCCCTGACAAACACCAACTTCAGGGATAGGGAGTTTGCTCTAGACTCACAGTTTGAGGGGATACAGTCAAATACAAGGGAGACAGCATTTCAACAGAAGCAGGAGACAGCTACGCACACTGCAGCTACAGTCAGAAAACAGGGACAGGAAGTGGGGCGGGTATTACAAACCCCAGTGCCCATCCAACCCCAGGATAACAAACTTCAATGTCCACCTCGCCACCCCAGTGACAAACTTCCTCCAGCAAGATGCCACCTCCAAAAAGTACCACAACATTCCAAAACAGAAGTGTTAGCTAGGCACCAAGTCCTCAAACACGAGCCTGTGGGGAACATTTCACATCCAAACCATAGTGCTGGCAAATGTTATGAAGGTGTGCTGTTCTCATTCCACTCAAGTCACTAGGTACTGTCATTCATCTGGTCCTCCTGGTTCCAAGAGTCCTGTGGACATTGTATTTTCTCCCAAGGAGGAAATTTAAGCAGAAGATACTGTTCACGTATCTCTTTTTGAGAGCCCAAGGGGCAAAAATAGTATGTCTCAAGTAAAGAAAGAACCATCCAACACTTATTTATGGTTCAACATCCCCCTCCCCAATGGACAATGACTTTGAGTACCCTCTAAGACTCACCAGTTAAATAAACTGTTTCTATCCCAGGAACAAAACACTAGTGGTTCAGAACCCGACCTTAATGTTTCTTCCTCTAATCTGCTTTCCACATTCTGTCTCTCAATATTCTTCCTGATTGACTAGGGATGTTTTAAAAATATTTAATAACTGCACAGCTTCCTTAGCACAAGCAGAGTCCTGAGAACCTTGGGTTGTATTGGACATAATGCCATCAGATGCTAATTCATAGTCGAGATTATGCAAAGGAGCCAGTCAGAATAAAGGGTTGGGAGACACTCAGTTATTTGGCAACACATTCAGAGCTGATTTAGCATTTATCAGCTGGTGTAAGAAAATGTGTGGCTGGATAAACGGCAGCTCCTATACTCTATGATTTTATAACTGTGTGGAAATTCATCTATTTACTCTTCTGCTTGACTATACTGTGGAGAGATAAGAAACACAAATATGAGTACTTATTTTATTTATTTATGGCAGAAAATAAGATTATCAAGGTAAACTAAACCTAATAAAGAAAGAAGTCATGTCAGATATAATAAAGAAGCTACCCTTTGGGAAGCAGAAATTTCTAGAATTATGACCCTCTTAATAAAAGCTCAGTGATAGATATTGGGGTTCAAACTGAAGATCAGAGAAGCAAAGCATCCAGCCTGTAGCTCTTACCTCTCCCGATGCTGAATTGAAGATCCTGCCTTCCTTTTGACTGGAAACTAAATCTCTTCCTGTCCTCACAGTGGCTGGAGACTAATTGACAGTGACTGGAGATTGACTTTGCTTCTTCTTTATATACCTCTCTAATTCTGGGAGTAAAAGCATGAGCTCTGTTTCTTTTAGATTGATTCACTCTTATGTAGCTCTGGGTGGTCTTGAACTCACAGAGATCCATCTACTTCTGTCTCCTGAATCCTAGGATTAAAGATCCTAGGACTACAACTTCCCAGCTTCTATAGATAGCTAGTGTGGCTGGCTTTACATTTTGATCTCCAATGGCTTTATTAGGTCATAAACAATATATCATCATATGGAATGATACCTTTTACCTATGAAGATATAACCCCATTACAGAACCCTTTGTGAGATGTGATCCTTTAGTCTGAACCCTCAGAGCAGGATTCCAACTTACCAGGACAAGGAATAAAAGGATACTTGGGAGATACTTCAGCCCAAAGAGCACACACAGGGGATAGTCATAATAGTCTCACTAAAATAACAAAGTAAACAATTCAAAAGAAAATCTAATAACAGACATATTGTTGGGTAATATTGCATGGTATTTTCACAACCCATTTTCTAGGA